ATCCATGGGCATACCATGCAAAGTGATCTTGGTCCTTTGGGTGCCCATATACTCAGTTTGTATCCTCACCGACTTGGTGGTGAGGATGCATCCGGCTAGTGTCTTAGCCTCCTCTTCTGATATCAACAAGATGTCCCATATTACATTTGCAACTTGCTAACACCTTCATTGCAATGTTCAGGCACCTGAGTGCTTCCTTCATTCCTTCCTCGCTGACACCTACCAACTTCCTGGTATTTACATCAGATGTCAGCAGGGAAATTGTCCTTTTTGAAATTTACTCCCAGACCAGCAGAATGGTTAAAAGTTCATTGCCTGAAATGTACTTCTGGAACTTTTGTTGTACCGCTATATAATATTTAGGCCCCTTTTTGTGGGTCCTGTCCACCACACATGCTGAGGAATGGTATCCTGCTGGTTGATCCAGCTGCTGAGATACCTCAGCCATTTTGGCTGGGGCCACATGCAAAAACAAATAGCTCACAGGACAATCACATGAGCTAACTAGACAATGCAAAAATTAGGCAAAATAAAACAAAAACACCCAAATAAAACTTTCAAAATAAAATTTTGCTTGAAGAAAAAAGGCAAACAAAATAACACAGAAAATAAAATACAAATTAAAAAACAAATACAGAAGAAGAATTAAACTAAAGAATAACAAATCGGATTACTGGAAAGAAAAAAAAAACGAAAAAAATAAAGAAGAAAAAAAGAAAATTAAAAAATGTAGAAAAGTTCATGTAAAAGAAAACAAAAATAAGAAACGCCTACACTAAAAGTGCACACTCTCTTTCACAATGATAGCCCTTGCTTGTCTGAGTCAAACCCCAACCCCGCTCATTAAAAAACAGTCTGCATGAGGTAGAAAAATAAATGAATTCCAATTGGATATAAATCCAAAATAAGCAAAATAGAAACAAGTCAGTTGCAGGTGTTGCCTTATGTCTCTATGCATTTTGGATATGCTAATACTGTGTCATCTCCTACCTGTCAACCATTGAAATAATTATTTCAGGACTTGGACAGTATCATGGAAGCAATCAGATGGTCACCCACCGGAATATCTAAAAAATCTGGGTATCTGAGTACCCTGTGTCTATGCAGGTACCGAGTGAATATCAGCGTGAACTACAGGCAAGGATAGACGATGAGTGGCTGATAACTTATCCCAAAAAAGAACTTGGTCCCACAAGGGGCCTGATCCCATTAATGTTAGTGGTTGAAAAGAATAAAAGAAAGGTCAGCCTGGTGTTGGATTACCACAAGCTAAACGAGCATGTTGATGCATACACGGCCCATACTGATGTTTGTGCTGAAAAATTGAGAGAATGGCAGAGAAATGGGCTCACTGTTCCCATGCTTGAGCTTCACAAAGTGTACCTACAGATATGTGTGCATTGATCGCTGTGGACATTTCGAACCGTCATTTATAAGGGGTGGAGGTACTGCCTGACAAGAATGGGATTAGGGCTTAATGTGGCACTGGCTATCATGAAAGCCATTGTAAATACCATACTAGCAAAAAATGAGTCCATTCTCCAGGCTACTTCAGCCTATACTAATGACATCTATGTCAATGAAGATGTGACATCTGCAACATGCATAAGACAACATCTCACTGATTTTGGATTGACATACAAATACCCAGAATGACTGCAGGACAATACCTGAGTGCTCAGCTTGCAAGTTTGATGGGAGCAGAATACCTTGTACTGGAAGCAGGGGAGTGAAGTACTGAAAGAACCTGAAGTTTAACTCGGCAAAAAATATTTTCACAATGCAGAAAATTAGTAGGACAAACACAAAGCAACTGAGGTTACATCCAGCTGGGATGATGACATAACAGATGCCTCCCACAGCAACATGTTTATGGATCTCATTACCAGAGCACTCCCAGATGACTCTGTATGAGTCAAGTTGTGTGTCAATGGACATGAATTTGAATTATAGATCAATGCAAGCTCCCTTGCAACTGGAGTGTCCCTCGGGTTTAATGGGGACGTAGTGGAAGATGCATGGTGGTTGTATCCCAAAAGAGACATTCAGCATAGAAATGTAGCTGAATTGGACACCGTATTTATGCATGTTAATGTGGCACTTCAATGAAAAGGCAAAAATGTTGCACTTATTCACAGACGCTGCATGTGTTCATGGATGGATATCTGACACACTTACCAGAAAGGCCAGGATACACACAAAGGCCTCAAGTGAGATGCTCATTTGGAGTAGGCTCTGCAGTTTGGAAAAACTGGTCAGTGAATATGAGTTATTAGTGGGCATAAAACTGGTGAAATGCAGCCAAAACTGGGCAGACAAGCTGACGAGGGTAATGCAGAGATGGCTTGATGCAGTAAAGAAGGAGATGGAACTGGTGAAACTTTTCTGTGCAGTATCAGTGAGCAAATACAGCTCAAACAAGATAAGGTCAGTACACTGTTAAAGTAGGCATACTGGCATTAAAAGAACCCTGTACTTCGCAAGGTGGATTGATCCAGCAGTGTCCAAGGCAGTAGTTAAGGCCATAGTCAGAGAATGTAGAGAATGTCAGGTTATTGACCCATCACCAGTATAATAGATGTGGAAGAATTTTATTCTGTCCATATGTTCATAAAGTTTATGTTTGTTTTGTCCCTCATAGACTGAAAAGAAAAAGAGTCGAACAGTGTGGATGCAATGTGTTTAAACAAAACAAGGGTATATATAGACAATAGAATATTGTTGTGTCTTACAAAACAATGAACATGAATGAAGAAAATGTTTAAACTAGTGAATTGTTTGACTGTGTGAAGTTGTGTAGAAATGCTAAAGAAAGGTGTTACATGGAAGAAAGTAAAGAGAAAGGTGCTAGTGTGCATACATGTGCACTTTTCTCCACATTCAGCCTACATCTTAGTGTCCCTGGGTGAAATATGAAAAAGAATGACTGAGGATGTCACTGCCTATTGACTTAGAGAGCGTCCCCTATCAACATTATTTAGGAAAGTAAGTAGGGTAACCTTACAAGCAATATCAAAGATATATAAATGAGTGTCATATTTGTGAACACAAGAAATCTATTGTTATGCACCATGTTAATTTTGTGCAATGCTGGATAACTGTAACTAAAGAGTGAATAACAAGATGAAACATATGGTAGGTTTATCTATAGCAATCTGGAACTAACTCTGACTGCTAGTAGCCACAAACTCTATGCTTTATTGAAATGTGATTGGTTTATACAAATAGTTACAAGGGAATTAACTTGTAATTAAAATATGGGAATTATAATACTCATTTCTGACAGAAGTCAAACAATCCTTGTAATTAACAGGTAATTAATATTTATATAGCATATGTCATTAAGATGACATACAAAAAATCTCAGGGCTAAAACTACCTTCATGTTCCTGGAACTGGTATTATTATGGTTATTATTAAATTTCTGTTCTGTTTTTGCTAGGTTTATTTATAATGCAACTACTTCTTGTTACAATTCTGTCAGCTTCTGAGTATAGCATGATTGAAGGTGATCTGCTCAACAGCGTCTGACACAGTTGATTCTTTCTAGTTGAATGTATCAGATATAAATACTGGTTTTATTGTAAATTGGACTGAATTTGAATTCTGTATCTGTCTATATTATTATCATTATTATCCTTGTTTATATTTATCACAACGTTTCAGCTGTTGTATGCTCCGGCCTTCTTCAGGTGGTTGGAATGTCAAACTGAACCCTTTATTTTGCTTGCTAGGGTAAACTGTTCTAGTTCCATGTGCCATGTCTAATGGATGTCAGTTATCAGTTATCTCCAAGTTCTCCGCCACCTTAACCAGGTATTGAACTCACAATCTTTAGGTCCTGTCACTGGATCTAACTAACACTTTATCCATTGTGCCATGTGTCCTTCAGGACATCTGTGTATGAATTTCTGGGTATTAAGAACTGAATGTCTTCAGCAACCATTTTGAATTCTGCTGATGATATCTGCAAAGCATTATCCGAAATCAAAATGTCACTAATTCTATGTCTATCAAAACATCTTTTAGCTTATTTATAATAGTACACCTGGTTTGATCTCTTAGTTGCATCACTTCTGTAAACTTTGAATATTAGTAACAATTATGTAATCATTTCCTTTAAGGGAAAATAGATTGATACCCCACTTTGACTAGGCATGATCTGACACTATGTTATTTAACATGTTGTGCCATGCTGGATAACCATGATGATAGAGTGAATAATGAAACATGCTTATCTGGAGGAAGCCATGGTGGAACTAACTTTAACTGACAGTAGCTATGGGCTGTATGTTTTATTGAAATGCAGTTGGTTTATATATTTACAAGGAAATTAACTCACAACTATGTAGCAATTATCTTCAAAGCTTTGACTAAAAGATATAGCAAGAAAGATTGTTATGTATTATATTGTGTATAAATTCTACAAAACTTTTTCCTTCTGCTAATAATAAACACCAAACAGAAGTATCAAGAAATGTTATAACAAACAATGTTTGATCTAAAGTTTATTATCAAAGATGGACTTAAGTTATATATTTGGAATTTTTTAACAAATTTTACCCACAAAAAATGGTATGTTGAAAGGATGGTTTTTCTCTTAATGACACTATTTCTGTATGCACACACATACCTGCACAAGAAATAATGTTCATACCCTTTATGTTATAAATTTCAAAATCAGTTTCAGTAAATCTGTTCCATGCAAACACATTAGATAATCAAAGAGGAAGAATAATAGACCATTTGAATCATTCTATTTTGTTGCTCAAATGTCCTAAGCACAGAGCCTCAAGATGGAAATATAAGCAAAATAAGCAAAGATGACAGCCCAAAAGTCAGTAGATGCACTCTCTTCAGAAGGATTCCACTTTGGCTACTGACTACTTCAAAGGAACTGCTTTCAGTCATTTACCTACTTTAAAGAACAAACTTATGTCCAAGGACATGGTTCTACAGTTCCCATTTAAATCATTGATATTTTTCAAATCTCAAGTCTCATGATGTCATACATGTAATCCACTTCCATTTAGTATGTTTCTGTTGCTTTGTTGTTTGTCTCAGGACTCAAAATTCATGACCCAGACTTCATTTATAGCTATAAATTGCTTTGTGAAATTGTCTGAATCTCCATCAACTCTGCAAAATATCATGAGATATAATGAACCTGGATGAATTTTTATTTTCACTCATAGCCACGACAATTCAGTATGGTTAAAAAAAAAAACTTGTGATAAATGAACTGTTTGTTGATATATTTTTAACTTGAGAATTAAAGGAAAAACCTACTTTACTAACTATTGCTTAAATAGTTGGGTGTCATTTGTCAGTCTCCATTGGAATATCATAGATGTGGGTGAAGGTTTTTCATAACCAAGAATAATCTTTCAAACTCACTGGCACTTAATTTTGCTGCCTACTTCATTATTTAATATATTTTACATTTTTGTATGAAATGGTAATAATACTTAGTCACAGAACTTCACAAAACAATTCCTTACTTCTTAAGTGCTGTGAAATGGAAGAATATCTGCTTTGATACTTTATCTTCATATATTTGCTTTCATTTCAAAATTGTTACTTGTAAGAGATGTAAAACTTATTCTATATGTTTCAGTTAATTTCATAACATATTTATTCACTTTAGCTAATATTTATATTTGTTTTGTTGGATTTTATGACTATCTATGCATGCATTCATTTATTTTAAGTTAGAAAAAACTTTTAATTTTAAGGTGCTTACAAAGCAATTTTAATTATTATCTTCATATTTATTTTACGTTTAGTACTCTAAAATAATTAAACGAGATTTAGCCGGGTAGGTCTTCGTGAGCTTATTAAATATTTCGCTTGCCTTACATGATGGAAGAATAAATACTTGCTTTAAAGACACGAAACTCATTAGAGCTGGAAAAATGCCGAATTACTAGAGTTATCTGCCCAGCTTATTTGACGTCAGTATACGCTAATACAACAGCTGATACGCTTTTTATGTTTGTGCTGATTGTCTCCCTTCGTGTTTAGGAAATCTCTTTAGGAAGGTCACAAAAAGTCTAAAGTGCATTTATTATTATTATCAATTATTAGATTTTTTTTACGACAACGAGAAGCCAGGCAAGACACAACACTGCAAAGTCAGGAGTTGCATTAGTGTTTTCGTATTTTCTTAAACCAACAAAAACGAAAAAAAAAAAAAAAAGAACACTCCTACACAGTACCCAGTAATTCGCGATCATTTATTCACAAAGGAAAAGACAATTACAATTTTTTTCTACTTTGCACGCGACATTTGAGGAGCCAAACTAGTGGCAATAGTTCTTTAATCTTATTCTTCACTCTTGTGACCTGGTATTCTAGTAAAATACGCATGTTGATAATTTCAAAACATTTCGATTGCTTTTTTAAAAATCTTCAACCATAAACGCTACTCTGGATTGTTCTAGTTGTTCGCTACTGTTATTTCGTGTTAGTTGCTAAACTGTTATTTTAATGCTTTAAAAATTACATAACAAGGAGAAAATTAAACACAAATGTTGTCTGCCAAGTACTTAAAAATACCATTATTAACAAAGCGTTAGTACTTGATACCTTATTTTAAATATATGACGTAACCAATCAGATTGAGGGTTTTCTTTTAAAATAACAATATTTGCAAGTCAATGTTAGATATTAAACTAAACTACATACAAGAAATGAATATACAAGTCCCCGTTAATTTATTTTTTAAAAATTCAAAGAAAAAAGACAGACTAAAATAGGGATTTTAAACTTATATTTCGGAACCATTCTTTGAAATGACGTCATAAGCACGACGCTGGATGACGTCATAAACGCCTTTTTTTGCATAGATTTCAACAGATTTATTTTTAATTTTTCACTTTTGCGAATAATCTGAAAATAAGGTTTCTGGTAAATAAATACTGCCCTCAAAAATTACTTATTTGCATGTGTAACGAGGCATATCATCCATCGATCTTGTCTAGCTGGCTCATTCATTACGGAAAAAAAAAAAAAGAGCAAACCAAAAAGAAATGTTTTTTCACTAGACAAAAATAAATAACCACCCAAAAATTGAAATCGTTACTTGGTTAATTAAATGTTTTATCAATACGTGAGTAAATGTATGTTACGTACAACACGTTACGAATCTAAATTTACATAGTTACGTTAAGCTTGCGAAAACATTTTGAGGGTGATTGTGAACCGCGAATATACGTAATAATACAATTTAGTTTGAGATTAGATTAGCTATCGATATATGTAAAGGGAGATAATTATGTAAAACTCTCTTGTTTAGAGAATCAAAAAGGCCGTCTTGCCTCCTCTTTCTCCCTTGCCAAGTAATTCACCCTCTTTCTGTTGATTTGTCTTTTCTTTAGCTCCCACTCTTCACCAAACTGGCTAGTCTTTTCCTTATCTCTCACTTCCCCTCACTATCTCAGTCATTCAATCATCTCACAACCAACTTCTCTGTCTGCTTTACACTCATTTCAGTCTACGTACGCAGCAGACTGGAGTTTTGAGCCTGAGCCACAAGCTTTACGACGACTCGGTTGTTGTTTAGTCCCCTTTCTCTACGCATACATATACGTATATCTATATCAGTCTGTACCTAGCGTAACTTCTTTCTTCTTCTCCATGATGGACGACGAGGAGGATATTTTACTGGACGACGAAGAAGAGCCGGACGGAGGAGGATCAAGCGACAACGATGATGACGAGTTGGTCGACCTGGCCATGGAACCGGAGCCGTCCACCACCCAAGAGAAACAGGACGCAGAGGAGTTCCCTTTCGAAGTCTTCAAGACCACAGAGATTGTCCAGCTCATGGTCGACTGCATTAAAGATGTGAATTCCGTTGTACAGGTGTGCGCACACAAAACATAAATATTAGCTTACATACATTTTTTTTTGTGGTTATTATGTTCTCCAGTAGTAGCGGTAGTTGTGGGTGATGAATGTTTTTAGTTACTTTTTTTTTTTTTTTGGCTCAAGGCAATGAATGAACTCATAATCTGTACATTTTTGCTTACTCATGCATGGTATTGTTGCTGATTTAATTTTTGTTAAATAATTGCAGGGATTAGAGACTCAGATCTTTGGCTTATTATTTTACTTTCCATTATGAATGAATCTGTAGTGAACCATTTCATATTTCAAAAAGGTCCCTTTTGTTTTTCTCTTAGTTGTTTTCTTGTCTCCCTTTCAATATCCTCCATTATTAGTCCATTGAATGATTTTTTTTTTTTTTTGTCACAAAGACCGAAAAGAAAAAAAAAATAATGTGATCTAAAACTTTGTTTTGATTTCTAAGTCTGTATCGGTCTTAATTTGTTTTCTCTCTGATGCGGTCTTTGTCTCTAATCGCTAACCGGGTGTATGACAAAATAGAAACATTTGATTATTTTTGTATTATTATCACTTTGTCTTTTCTACCTGTTTGCTAATTTTAAAAAATTATTATAGAACTTGCTTAATAAATTCTTTGTCACTAGTTATGGTTGTTAACTTATACATGGAGACATCTGTTATTTTTTCTATTACTAGAAATGTCGCAGGTAACGTAGTCTAACTACTACTACTTGTTAGTTATTATAGTACCACTGTATTGTGTGTGATTACTACTGCTATACAAAAATGGTCATGAATTGGGGGATCGGCTAGTTTACTCGTAATATTTCTTTCTGTTCTAATCAAAGCCGGCATTTTCGGGAAAACTACGACAAAATTTCTATGAGTGAAATTCTTTGATGACATAGTTATATTTTTGGCATTTAATATAACTTTTTTTTAAACGTAATTATGGTTTAAGCTAGTATCTACATTTCTAATCCCCCATTTTGTGACCTCCCTTCGTCTTTCTCTTTCCTATTATTATTACTACTTTGTAACAACATGGCGTACGCCATCATAAATTTTTTCTCGTCTGACATTTTATTATTTTATTTGATTCTTTTAAAGAAATCTACTTGATCACGCCGTTTTGTTGTGACAATTTTGAAAAATTGCTAATATCAAGAGTACCTTTTAATCTGATTTTTTAAATGTATGCATAATATGGACATTACAGTTGTAGGGAATCTAAAGGTTAGAGATGAACCCTTATGGCTATATATGTGAATGTGAGTTTCCATAATGTTCGATTATATATATATATATATATATAATATATATATATGAAAGACTTCATTTTTAAAAAGTTGTATGTTTATTAATTTATTTTTTTCATGAAACTTTTTTTTTTTTCATTTCTGTATCTATTAAATTTTAAAGTTGCCTATCTTTTGATGTCTGTTATTTTTTTTCTTTTAATTTAAGTACATTTATTGAACCGGCATCGAATTTATTTACCTGATAACGAAATTTTTGTGTTTTATTGAAAATTGATCAGTTACTGAAATGTCGAGCTCTCAATATGAATAACGGAATAAGTGATAATACGATTGTGAGGCAGGTTTAAAATAGTTGCAGAAAATAAATTATAGAAATTTTAAATTTTAAATAAAAGCAGTAATTATCTAACAAATAATTATCTAACCTCGTTTTAATGTCTGTTACTCCCCCCCCCCTCAGCAAAATAGAAACTGGAAATTTAGTTTTTTATAAATTTAGAGAAATGACTAAAAACAATTGTCAAACTCAAAAATAATGAAGCTAAGTCTTTCATTGTTAAGCAACAAAATGTATGAGCTGGAAATGACGATGGTGGCTACGTGGGTGAATAAATAGTATCTTTTTTTTTTTTTTTACTCTTTCTTTTTTTCTGTTCGTCAGGTGTACGAATATTTTTTTTTTTTTTTTTGAAAACTATTTCAAAAGTGGGTAATAATGAGTATGGCACACTTCCATTTTTCCGTTTATGATGCCAAACGATTATTTCTTGCTTTTCTCAAGCAGTCTGGAAATTTATTAATTTAAAAAAAAAAATCCCGTTATTGTCCAAGTATTGATGAAAGTCGTTAAACTTTTCTTTTTTTTTTTTTTTTCTTCTTATCCCCCGCAAAATATTTCGATAACTTCAGCGTTCTTAGACGACCATTTCCTCTTTTACACCCGGGCCTCGTTATTTCAGACAAGAAGGCGCATGTTTTCTAATATTTTTAAATATTCCAAATCATGAAACACTCGATCCAAATAATACATTGTACTTCTGTTTACGGTCATATGACTACCGTCCTTGTATATTAACTTTTTTAGACATTGAAAATAATGGCTACAATTATGTCTTGCTTTTTAAGGATTTATTTTTTGTGTATATTTAAAAAAAATGTTATTGATTCTTTAATCTTAGATTTTTATCCATTTTTAACCATAATTAGTATGTTGATACCAAGTACATTTTTATGAACTTTTTCACAAAAGCATATTTAAACACTTTTTAATTTGGATTTAGGATGATGAGTAATAAATAATTATCATTATTTACAGTTAGGCTAATGGCCTCATCTTTGAAAATATATTGCTCATTTTATTTTTTATTTTTACTTAGTTTATATTGAGGATATTTCAAAGTTATCATTTCTACTAAAAAAAAAGTCTTGAATGTTACGCTGACGAGAATTTGTCAATCTTTAGTTTTTCAACCGTTTCTATATTTTCTTTCACTTGTTCATCGGGTTCCAATATTCATTTTATTGAAGATGTTTCTCACTAGGTATATTTAATGTTAAATTTCTTGTAAAGCATCTTGAAATATTTTTCTTAATTAAAGAATAAATTTAGTTATGATTCCCTTGCATATGATCTTAAGCTCCATAATGAAGAAATGCGACCATCCCAGATTGTGATTAACATGTTGACTGTTACTCTAGTTAGAAATCCTGTTTTGGGTGTATTGATGTTTTATTTTCGGTGACAAGGTGGGTACTTGAAGGGAGTGATGTGACCAAGATTTGATGGCTTTTTAACATTAAGGTTTCAATTTTAATTTTAGTATTCGCCATAAATAGCTGACAATGCAAAAATATCCCAGTAGTAATCTGACAACTAAGTGTGTAAAACCGAGAAAATTTTTTAAACAAACATCAATTCTTCTACTAAATTTTAGTTAATTTTTTTAATGGTTATATAATATTTAATCATTCAATATTAAAATCATTTTCACTATAAAGTTTATAACCTTCATACATAAAAAAAAATCTATGCAAAAAGCTAAAAAGCACAATTTTTAAACTTGGAAAATAATCCAAAATTTCTCTGATTTATTTCCAATTTTTAATTATTGAATAGATAATAATTTAGCTTTTTTTTTTATTTTATTAAAGTCAAATTGATTTTGCTTGTATTCTTTTTCTTCAGATTTTGATAAATGCTCTTTTTATAGGATCATAACTTATTATTTTTTTAGTACAACTATTGATCTGAGCATTCCAATAGATTTATCAAGCATCTGACCCTAATGAGTGTTTTGATGAGTCTGTTAACCAGATAAGTCACTTGAACTTTCTTAATTTATTGAATATTAAGGGTATTGTTGATATTCTATTCACAATTGTTCTACATCAGTAACAAAAACCATTCCAACAATTGTTTTCCTTTCACTATTTATAACCAAAGTGGCTTGTTCAGTTTTTAGTATCTTTGTTTATTAGTGTGTTGATATTGATTGCTTTTTATAGTACTGCTCATTTAATCCTCTAATTTCCAATGGTTGTCGGATGTCTTAAGTTATTATGAACTTGTCTGATCTTTTTTGGTTCTTAAATGTTTAATTTTTTTTTCTTTCATTTTAGCATACTGATCAGTTTTAAAGCACAGATAATTTGTAATTATTAAAACATTACCTTTTATAAGTTCTATTTTACATTGGACATCTATTACATATTATGCGGGATAAACTTTGATGTTACAAACTTGCATACGTTTTATTATTTGTTATATAAAGTATATACATAATTAGATGGAATGAAATCCATGTTTTGTTATAACTAGTTCAATTCATTTGTCATAGTTCAATAAATATTCACACAATTTTCATTGTTTGAGATTTTGATATAATTTTTCTATTTTATGGTATTTGTTGCTTTAATGGAGTAGTAAAAAGATTCTGATTTAGTTTTTCTCTTCAGCACAGAAAAATATAATGCACTTTTTTATCATCTCTGTACAAGTTACATAGTTACTTGTTTGTAATCATTAGTTTATGAGTATCTCTTGTTCATTTAGAACCACTTTCTTGGCTAGAAAATAACTTTAAGTATAAAGAATATTTTAACTGTTTTGTAAAAATATTCCATTATTTTAAGTAAAAATGAATATCAATATTTCAATAAAACTGACTGAAAAATTATTTGAAAAATCTTTTTCCTTTATTTTGAAAAAAAAAATGAAATATTTTCTGGTTGCTAATGACAATTTTAACATTTATAATATTCTAAATTTGACTGATCCTAGACTAATTTCTGTAAAAATACAATGTTTTGTATTTGATAATCGATTCCATTTAATCAAATTTGTTGTGCTAAAAATGTTTAATACATTATATAATACTTTGTCAATTATTGCTAACTTAGACAAAATAGGCATCTTTAAATTATTTTACTAACCTTACTTGCAAATAAGATTATCATGCATCACTAAATATGAATTGAAAGTTATGTCTATTTATATTTACATAATGTGTTGAGTTTAGAATTGCCAGTTTTAATGCGTACATTTCATAAACTTGTTTAAAATATAAAGACGTCTTTATTACTGAAAAATAAGCACATTTACTGTTTTCACAAAGGAATATCCAATTTATAATCAATAGTCATAAAATTCATTAACAGATACTCTGTGACAAAACAGTGAATTTAGAGCTCAAATGGTATATTTATTGGTATATTTATTTTGGTGTTTTATTAAATATTTAACTAGAAAAACTG